CATTGGAGATGATCACCCACAATCCCGCAGCGAGAGAGAGAACCACCATTGGCTCAGTTGTGATCATGTGACATTTGGTGTCACGTTCTACTCGTATTGCAAGACATTGCTCGTTTATCGAGTTAAAATTTATTAGAAATGTTTGCTTGTCTTGCACTCGCAGATCAAGTTATTCGCAATCCAAGGTTTTACTGTATATAAGAACTCTGTTTATGTATCATTTGTAGTTGATTCCTGTTGATTGCATGGACACATTTACCACTGCCACCGTCTGGGATAATTTTGTGACTTCCCAGTCTAGCCTATTGTCCTGAGATTTCCCAGTGGTCTCCCATCCATGTATTACCCAAGGCCAGCCCTCCTTAGCTTTTATCCTCGATCAGCCAAGTTTCAGAAGATGCCACCACCTGCTGTGAGGTTCCTAGTGCTTTTGAATTCTGCTCTGAGTCTTTGGAATGCCTTTTTCTAGCATGGCTACCTTGAAGTTTGTGGCAGAGTGACTTGGGGAGACAAAATGTTCTCCCCATTAGTTCTTCCATATTGCCACTTTTAAAAAGTTCAGGTGTTAATTTATTATTCTATGTAGAGACTGGCTACTTTGTTCAGTGGAAAGAGCAGTGGAGCAACGTTGATAAGTAATGCTGTTTGACACACTGCTAGATGAGCAAGTATATGTTCACTTATTATTATTATTATTATTATTATTATTATTTATTATACAACATAAGGCGGTGTACATCATGCTCCTGCCTCCTATTATCTCTACAAAAACAATGCTGTGAGGTGGCGTGATATAGGTGGCATTGCTAGCCTATTGTGGTCGCTAAGAGTTGACACTGACTTGATGGCACATAATCAGAGGATGCTGCCGGAGTCCGAGGGCAAACATCGCATCTTTCTCCTTTTCATCGAACGATAGCAGAAACATGGCCCGACAGCATCTTTTTTTTCTGCCACCATGACTTCCAAGCTATGGTGACTTCCCAAGAGAACAATTAGATGGCAGCAAAGAGACACCCAGAACTCTAGTGGGACCTTCGTGGCTCGGATATGGCACGCCTAGTGCCATATCTAGTCCCTCCAACACTGGCTGAAATCTCTGTTTTGCTTTCTTTTCTCCTTGCAAACGGATGAGATTCGCGCCTCCACGAACTATAATTCCCATCATGCACCAGAAACGCCGTAACGGCGAGAGCAAGGCAGGGAGCCGAGCGCTTCCCGTCATGCAACGGGCGCCAGGGTTCTTTGCCTGACTCCATTTCCCGGCATGCTTTAGCTTGGTAGATGGAGGTGGCGGAGCTCAGTATGTAAATCTAACGGCTCGTCCCGCCCACATTTCCTTTGGCGCCGGGGTGGACTTGCGATGGCGGGGTTGCTTCCACGGCACCAGGCTCTTTACAAGGGTCTCCGGACCCCGCCATGGAAGGATACTTTCCGGCAGGTGAGCAGCTCCTCCCCTCCCCTCCCCTCCCCGGAACGCCGGAGGCGCCAACGATCCAAGGTTGGAGCGCGGGCGGTCAGTCCCGCCGCCGGGATGGTGGGTGCACGCCCACCCGGCAAAGAGTATCTTCGGAGGAGGCTGTGAACCTGGGGTGCAGGCTTGCCTGGGAGGGAGACCCGTGGCAAGTACTGAGTGGGAGTAAGCTCTGAGCAACGATGTCGAAACTGTCTGCAATCTCAAGAGTTAACCCGAATTAGAGTCCCTTTCCTGAATTGCGCAGACGCAGCTCTTAAACTTGAATTCATGACTATCATTGTATTTCAGAGTTTAAAGCAGGGCTAGCGTGGGTTTTGTATTTGTCTCGGTCGCAGAAGAGGAGAAGACGAGCCTATTAGGTTCGGCTCCTGCTCAAAAGGCAAGTGGCCACCGTGGCCAGAGATCCTTTGCGCAAATCCATCTTGTGCACCTATTTATTCAATTTTGACAATGCACAACTGCAGGAGGCTCACGGTGCAGTTGCGCCCATTCCTGGATGAGAAACCCTGCTCACAATCACTTATACCTTGGTCACCTTGCATTTGAATTATTGTAATGTGCTGTACATGGTGCTGCCCTTGAAGATCATTCAAAAGCTGGAGTTGGTCCAGAATGTAACAACACAGGTAGTTATGGGTGCATCTAGATAAGCTGGTGTAACACCACTATTTTGCAAGCCGTATTGTCTCACAGTAGACTTCCAAGTGCAATTTAAGGAGCTGGTTGTCACTTACAAAGGCCAAGGCTGACTGATTTGTGGGACTCCTTAGCTCCATTTATTTCTACCTGTCCCACAGGATTGTACAGGATGGGCATGCTCTGGAATCCTTCTATTAAACAATGTTATTTGACCTAGGAGGTGTGACTTTTCTGTCGTAGCATCTGCCCTGTAGAACAGTATAACCCTGAGATACGAATGGCCGTGACCCTGCCAACCTTTTGTTGGGGGCTAAAGATCAGTCTCTTCCCTCAAGCATTGGGGCAGAACATTCGGTGAGCCCATTTCTAGGGAGTTATTTGTGTAGATGTAAATGGCCTCAGGCATGATGTGTTTTAATTTTGTTTGGGTGGTTTTTTTGTTGTTTTTAACTGGACGTTAGTCTTACAGTGGGGGGAGCAGCCATATAAATGTAATTAATCAGTTAATTAAAATGGTCTTCTGTGCAGACATTTTATTCATTTTATTTTATAATTGAGAGTTTTGTGATCAACAGGTAGAAGTGATAGCTAAATCCACGTTACTATTTACTTACAGAATGTATAGCACTATTGGCATCTATAGTGCTGTACTAAGAAGAGAAATAAGTTGAGTTTTCAAGTTTATCAGTTATTATCCTTCAAACCCTGTCTCCATCCTCAGTGAAATCCAGAGGTTGCTATACCTTCTGGATTTTGTGCAGACTTCAGTAAATTGCATACTGGTTTACACTTATTAATTAGGAGCAATAAAGGCATAATGACTGTTTGCTTCCCAGTTCCAGGTTCTAAATAATTTCATTGCATTATATTACATGAATTCTGCTTTCATATTCACTGTAATGTAAATACAATTTTATACACGTACACATATAGAATAGTACACCCTGGGAGAAATGCACATGCACGCTACTTTATCTCCTTGCTTTGTTTTTTGCAGCCTCTTCTCTGATGAAATGTAGAAAGCTTGAACCAAGCACTTCCTTTATGATTTCCAGAAAAGGTTTTTAAAAAAAGATTTGCTATTTAGAAACATAATAAGAACTGCTGAAGTGAGTTTTTTTCCCCTCCCTTTAGCGCTGTGTGGAGAGACTGAAAAGTAGTCGGGCCAAGCTGCTAGAAAGGTATCGTCAAGTGGGAGAAAATGGAGCTCGCAGAGCCAGTGAACCCTTGCTGGCACAGGAAGTGATGGAAGTTGAATGGAAAGCTTGGCAGTCTGTGGATGCTCAGCTACCCTCTCTCAGAAAGCAAGATTCTTCCCGGGTTAGTGCCATGCAAGGAAGTTTTTGGGGGGGGGGGTTGGAACGCAGGACTGGCATCCATGTCCTTACAGGCATCAACAGTCCTTTCTGCTGTCATCGTGCAATGATTCTGAGCTCAGAATCAAAATAGGCACAAAATCTCACAAGATGTTATTATCTCACCCCAAAATTTGGGCGGAGTCTTGAACTCTTTTGAGATCTGACCAATAAAAAAAGATTATTTTTACATCAGTTTGGAGTGGCGGTTTAGGACTGCAAAAGATGTCTTATTCTTGCTTTAATAGCAGTTTGTCTAAATATGTTTTACTTATTATATGTTTTGCTTATTAAGCAAAAAGTAAACACTTCTGTAGTTACTTGTAGAAAGTATCTTGGCATATGAAACAGGCTTTTAAAATAATTTATAGAACAATGTCAAGTTCATTTGAAAAAGTAAACAGCAGTGGGATGTGAGTAGAAACACAATTTTATATTTACATTTTATTTTTTGTATTTAGATATTGTTTATTTGTTGTTAGATGGTTTTTTTTGTTTTTCCTTCTTTTGGATTTGTGTGTTTATGCTGCCCAGAGTCATACTGTCTGGCTGGCCTTGTTCATCTTTAAATAAATAAATAGGGCAACACAGCACTCAACATGCAGAATGTAGGGCATAATAAAACTTATTTTTTACTTCATCACATTTGCCACTTTTATCTTTATTTTTTTTTGTTTTATTGATTTTACCATAATTTATTTGTTTGATTGTTGTCAACTGCCCAGAGTCATTGAGAGTCAAGCGGCATACAAGTTTAATAAATTATTATTTTAAAAAGCCGAGGAAAAAGATACTAATTTTGAAGCAGTCAAAACTTAGAGTAGTGGGGAAGATGAGTACTTCATTGGTGTTGTGGGGAAAGCATGTCTGTCACCTTGAATTCCTTGGAGAAAAGGTGGGTTAGAAACATACTTTCTTTAAAGAAAGCAACATACCATTCTGCTAGTGCCAGAACGCATTGTCATAATAAAAATTCTGCGCTTGACCTAAAAGTATTTCCTGGAGGAGGCCAAAAATACCATCTAGCTTCTTGAATGATGCATCCAATGTTATAAATCTAAGAAAGAAAGCAGTGGGAGGATTTTTACTAGAATTCCCCCCTTGTGCTCTGAGAATCTTTGGTGGATATGACCTTGTGTACGTAGCTAAGTGTCATGGGCCTGGATTGGTGGAGGGGTCCTAAGCAAATGTCTGTTTCCAGTTTTCAGTTTGGAGGAAGTGTGTATGAAGTGCTAAATGCAAGCAGCCCTAAGTGTGCATCTCTGGCATACGCTCTTTCCCTTCCTTAAATATTAGAACTAGAACATTGACTAGTTTTCCTCTTTAGATGCTTGAAGAACTGGCTGTACTGGATGAAATCCAGCAGGAACTGATCTTTCAAGGTACTTAAGTTTATTTGACTTTGATAGCCACTGCTTTTATTAATGCTTTTACTAATGAACAGTGCATAGCTGACCTTGATATATTTCAAAAAAGCTAAGCAGGGTCGGCTAGGAGTTCACCAGGGAATCTCAGGGCTATATATCCTTCAGCAGTGCATGTTTGTAAAACGTGTACTGGTAAGGGTGTACCTGACTTAGAATGTGATAATGAATATGTACGATCAGCTCAAGATTAGTAACAGTTATAATTTACTCGATACAAAGGCAGGGGGGGAAAAGTTTCATTTTCCAGATGAATGAGATGCATTGACCCAGATGCATCTTACACCCAGATGTAAATTACTGCCAGTATTTCAGGAGAAAAGAGGAAAAAAGCAAGGTACATTTAAAAGTTGCAAATTAATTTAGAAGATTAGCAAACAAAAACATGAAATAAAATGAGAAAATTGGATATATTGTAGTTTGATGTAGTTAAAATGTTGGATTGGGACTGGGGAGACCCAGATTCAAATCTGCTCATAGAAACTAAGTTGGTGACTTTGTACCAGCCACCGTCTTAGCCCAGCCTACCTCACAGTGTTGTTATTGTGAGTGAAAAAACGGAGAAGAGTGCACTATATACATTGCCTTGAGTCCCTGAGGAAAGGTGGAATAGAAAGCTAACAAACGATGATTGATTGATTGCCTTTTTATGCCATTACAAGTGTAACTCTTGGCAGTACACAAAGAGCATAAAATATCCACATTAAATAGAAAATGCCCATGGTATAGGTGTAACTGTAAAAAATAAATCAGAATCAATCAACGTGTAGTTTTGAAAAGGAACAACATTAATAAAAGATTCACAGGAACCTGTCATCTACCTAAGTTAATAATTAAGTTTAAAAAGCCTTTTGGAAGAGCACTGCCTTCATTTGCTTCCAGAAGGCCATCAAGGTCAAGGCAAGGCAAGCTTCCAGGGGAAAGCTGTTGCAGAGCATAGGGGCCATGACCTCCTGGCTGAAGCCCCACTAACTTAATGGGATTACAAGACATTTTTCTCAAGATGTGGTATCAGATAGCTTGATTCTAGCTGGAGAAGGCAATCCCACATGTACCTTGATGCTAAGCCATATAAGACTTTATAGGTTAACTGAACTAGTTAACAGATGTGCTGCTGCATTTTGTACTTCCTGCAGTATCTGATCTTTATAGAAGGAGAATGCTGATCCCATTGTAATGGCTGGCGTATAGAAGGCAATTGGTAGGAATGATATATTGTGACTGGTTCTATAATACAACCAGGATGTGCTCAGGATAGGGGTCTTTACAAAGGAAGGGAAGGGGAAGGGGAAGGAAGTTAGTTTTGTTTTAAGATCAGATTTAGAATACTTTTCTGTTCCAGACTTCAGACAAAGCAAAATTTAAGGTGGGGTGAGGTAGTTTCCTCTGTCTTGTCTTACAGGATGAGAAGGGCAAAGCTGGTGTGCCTTTCCCATCCTCCTCTATATGGCCTGTGAATCTGCCCAGCTGATTTTCCCCGTGCCATCCTTTCCTGACCTCCTCTTAGTTGCTGCAAATGTCAGGCACACTATTCACATGGCATGTCCACAGACTACTTTCCTTTGATCTTCATTGTATCTTCCAAACCTTAGTGACATTGTGTCTTCCAAGCCTTAGCTAAGGGGAGGTAGAGAAAGGAAGGCACTAGAAAGATTGGGGAGATAGTAGACAGACCAATTGGATATGCTGTTGTAGAAACTAAGGATGGCAACTAATTTGGCCTCAAGTGTTGCATATGAAGTTCGCTTCTTGCACCACCCCATCTTCCCAGCACCTTCCTTTCACTACTTCCCATTAACTGCCATCATGCACTGCCACTGATGCCCTTGACGTCCATCTAAAGTGACCATTAAGCCTATGGGCTGCCAACAACAAGGACAATAGAAAGAAAACTTTTACGGATCCTAAAATCTAAAATAGAATAGCTCAGAAGGAACAGAAAATACATCAGACTTAAAAAACAAAAGGTTATAATCTTTTGAAGAACAAGAGGGAGGGGACAAGCAGCTGATAACATTCAAGAAAAAGAGAAACCAAAAGGAAGGTTTTAAGCTTAGCTACAGAAGTAAAGACATAGCAAGACCACAGAGCTATATGAAATTGACCAACAAGTAAGAGATTGAGAATGCACTGTCTCAAAAGGGGAGATCAAAGCTGAGGCAAGGAAAGGAACAGGATCATATTTATCAGAAAATGGATCAAAATCCAGTTTTCTAAAGCCAGGAATTTCCAACCCCATGAAGTCACTAGGAATTGAACAAAATTTGAAGGAGATTTAACCAATTAACAGCAATGCTTTCCTTTGCAGAACAGTTGGCCATAGAGGAATATGAGCGAAGCCTGCAGTTTGAAGAGGAGTGCCTCAACGCAATGCTTGATGGCTTGGATGCAGAACACCACATCATCTGTCCTGTTTGTAGAAGGTGAAGTGATTGGTTTGAGAAAGCATCCTGTAAAACCTCTGCTTCTGCTTGGTACCAGGCTACACAAATATTCCTAAGGAAAGCTGAATTGCTGTGTCAGATGCAGCTTCAGCTTCGTTTTGCTGCACTGCTGTGCAAGTTCTTTTTTATGCAAAGACTTTCCTTCTTCCATCTTCAAAGATAAGTGGGGACCAAAAATGTGGCTTTCCTTACTTGCATCCTGAAGTAAGGTTGATTTTCTTACACTTACAAGTGGAATTTGTAGCACAATGAGGCAGCGTGGAGTGCTCCATATTCAGGACTCCAGAAAGTACGTCCCATTCTTCCTTCTTTCTGATATTCCTTGTCATCCTCTTCAGTCAGTGGTTCATAGCCTAAATAACTTTCTTCCGTTTCTGCAGATCAGAGTTGACATGTTCTCTCCATCTTGCTGACCTCTTTGTTTTGTGCAAGTTGCTTGATGAGGGAAAGACTTTGCTTTTAGTTTTATATCCTGCCTTTCCTTGATGAGAAGCAATATATCTTGCACTTGCACTTCCTCTATTTTTTTCCCCATAACAACAGCCCAGAGGAGGGGGAGAGTTGGGCTGAAGGAGTGTGACTGGCCCAAAGTCACTTAGGGGGTTTGCATGCCTGAATCTCCCAGGCCCTGGTCTAACACCTGAACAACTATACCCCTTGAGTTCTATCAGCTTTATAAATCTAATTTATAAATAAAGCTTTTCTTCCATTATCCAACCATTTGCGTGCTGATATGTATCTATAAGCTGCACTTTTTTATGCAGAGAAGAATAGGCAAAATAGTACATGTGTGTTGATGAATAGAAAGTGGCTTGAGGGACTGACTAGCTGGTGGATATGAAATGCTTTCACTGAAAGATTTTTGAGGAGGCAATTTGGCTTTTGTGCTGAAGAGATTTTCCTTCCTTTCTTTTAGAATGTCTGTTCTGAAGTCCTTGGATTTTACTGTTACTCAAGCTGATGTTGAAATACTGTGGAGCTGTTGCTAGAAGAGAACTCTCAGCTATACCAGTTTTTGTGATGAATGTTGAAAGATGCTGGAGATTGTATTTCAACAGCATCTGGAGATCCCAGTTTCTCAGCTGTTGTGACTGGTGAACAAGCGACTATGCCTTGTTCACAAACTATAGCTTAGCTAGACATTGGAACCCACCTATAGAAAACTGGTGTGTTAGAAAACTGATGTGTTAGACTGAAAGCCATTCAGAACTCTTCTAATATGCTTGGTTTCTTACTGTGCAGAATAGGGGAAGAAATGCTTTCTTCAGTTTGATCCTCCTACTTGTAGACTTAAGTAGTAACAATTCATGGCATGTTTTAGCCACTCAGTTTCTGCAAAATATATAAATTTGACCCTAAAATTGTTTTTGAGGCTTCTAGTTTTAAAAAATTTTCCAAGGTAGTAGCAGAATGCTTTTCTGGTTCATAGTTCATCGGTTGATAGCTTTTCACCTTCACACATCTTTCTCTTCTCATTTGATCCCCATGTGCAATGCCTTTGAGGTAAGATCTGGGGGAATCATCTTCCACTTTCATAATTGCAGTTCTCTTTGCATCTAGGAACAATCTCAGTGTGATGAGTAACACGGTGGTATGCCAGTGTGGACTGTGCATCAATACCCCGGTAAGCAAATGTCAGGGAAGTTCAGTATTTAAACCTCTGGCTCGCACACCTAAGTTCTTTGGTTTGATTGCTTGCTCTTTGCTTAAAAATACTTAGACACAAAATTGATGAGAAAGAGACCTTTCACAGTCTGATGCCCTGGAGGCACTGCTAGCCAGCTATTTTATGATCCCAGCCAACTGTTGTTGTTTTTTTCAACCAGTCATCTTACTGTGATATGTGAATCCAGCCTCAAGATTCATGCTGAGAATGGTCAGTCTTCATTGACCAGCTTGTGTGTGCAGGAAAGGGATTGATCTCTTACAGTCCTTTTCCTATTGTGCTTTCATGCTTTTGCACATCCAGTCAAGTGAGGCTTATTTAAGAGAGTGCCTGGATTAAATTTATTTTATTTTTTCCTAGCTTGAGGCATTAGTTTAATCGGTTTCAATTGCTCAGTCCTCCATACTAGTCTAGACTTGCCTATTCAGCCAGATATCAAATGCTAGTTCGTGCATATCTTTAAGGCTGGGTTAACATGTTACAATAAGATGCAATGTGATATATTTGATTTTAGCTTAGTGTATTGTGTGGTTGTTAAATGATTTGACTAGAAAAATAGTATTTGGGTTTATTAATATTCCTTTTCTCCATGCCCCACCCCCAGAAAAGAAAAATTAAGGAAAGGATAGCAGCTGACTCCAAGATAAATTGGGTATCTATTTCCTCCAGTTTTTGAGGCAGTATTGTAATGTTGGCCAAAACTAGTTGCTGAGGAAGATGAACAGGATATTCCCTACCCTCCTGGCTTTCCGAAAAGTATTAAAGACCTGGCTCTGCCAGTGTGCATGGGGCGATGCTGTAAATAGCCCAGTCGTTTCAACGAGATGGGTAGTGACAAATTTGATGAACAAAATAAAATAAAATATGCTAATGATGCTGCATTAGGTGGACCTTTGGTCAGATCCAGGAGGGGTTTTATAATCAAATGCAATGACCCAAAAATGAAATAAAAACAGAAGTTCCATGTAGAGATTAGGAAGTTGCCTTCATGCCCTACTTGTGGGCTTCTGATAGCAGCCAGTTGACCATTGTAGAAAGGAAAATGCTAGCCTTTGGTTTTAATGAGCAGGGTTGCTCTTAGAAAGTTATGAATTCAAGGTGGCATGTGATTTAAAACATCCAGTACTCTCTTCACCTGTGTTTATAACAAGAAGAGGAGAAGGGATTGGGGCTAATTGGCAATTGGACAAGTAACAGCTTGACTCAACCACATGGAAATTTGACTTTCTCTTTTAAGGGGATGACTGAGGAAAAACTCAAGCTGCTCTTAGAAGAATGCCTGATGGAACATAGCCAACACTGTCAGCACTGTCCTGTTTTCACTATAACTAATATGATGGAAGGAGAAGCTAATCTTCTTATGAGCTGTCAGGTAAGTATCCAAATTCAGCCAGAATATTCCATTGACAATTCTCTCCAATAATTTTACCTCCAATTTTTATCACTAAAATCACAAACAATAGAGTAATGACAGTGATATATAGACAGTGTTGTGAATCCAATCTTAATGTCACCTTATTGAAAAGCAAAGATGTCCTTTTGCTGAGCTCAACTCTTGATGCCTGCATCCATGCAGCTTTCTTGACGTTAGAGTGGTTCACCAGTGCCATCTTCTGGGATATTTTTTCAACCCTAACCCTGGAATGTTCAGTGGTTCCCCCATCTACGTTCTAACAAAGGATAAGCCTGGTTAGTTTCTGAAATCAGCCATGGTAACTTTTTTCTCATCCTTCTACTCCATATAGAGATTTCTTTGACTACAAAGCAAAGTTTTTATTTTAAGTGGAATGCGAAGCAGAATAACTAGCTTTTTCTAGTGATTTCAGTTTTTTTTAAAGTTATTTTCAATACCTAGAGAAAATAAGGTATTCCACTTTTGCTGGCACTGGTTTTCCTTACTCATGGTCATTAGAGGGAGAAAAACTTGGGAGTAGGTATCATAGTCTTTGCAAACTTAGAAGATGGAAGAGATGTTTAAAAAGTTACAGTCCCCAGTGTTGCTTAGTAGGAAAGAGGTATGGCTGTATTAAAATACACACTTGGTGTTTGCGAATGAATAAGGATTTTATTTAAGAAACCATAACTTGCATTTATTTCTTTTTGGTTCTAGGCTTGTGATTCCTGGACAGTGATTTTTTAATTCCATCTGTTGTAGCACTACTTGGAAAGCAATGCTGCTAAGTCTTTTTTCCCCTTCTTCTGAGAAGGGTGTGTATGTATATAATAATCACAGTATATATAAGTACAAAAAGTGTCCTCTATTTTTTTAAATTTAACTGGACCTGTGCTATTTTTTCTAAACTGCCCTGATGAATAAACTCTCTCCTTTTATGATAGGAGCTGGGGATTATAGGTTTGGAGCAGACATTTCTGGTTGCAGCACTTCTATGTACAAATTCTTGGAAACTTTGATCCAAATTGCATATACGTTCATAAGGGAGTAAAAGCACAACTGTGTATGAAGAACCACCTATTTTGCAAAGAATATCTCCTAGATTCTATTAGGTACATTTCCGCTTAAAGGAGATCAGATAACAGATAGGGATGGATATATTTCATTCTTGGATGTATCTAAAGACCAGGGCCAACTACTGTACAACTAGGGTTGGCCAACATACCACTCACCAGCTCTGACAGTTTCTGAGTGTTAGTGGAAACAACATTGGCTAGTGGTCTGATTGAGTATATAAAGCAGCCTAATGTGTGTCATCTTTTTAATAACACTTGGAAATAAAGCTGTGTTTTCTGGGATGGGCAGCTGCTCCTTCCTCTCAAATATGCTGGTGAAATTCAGAGCTGTGATTAAAAAATGGGGGGAAGGGAAATTACTCCCCCCCCTGCCATAACTAGGAAGACTCTGGTACCCCTAATATATCTTTTTAGAAGAAAGTCTCCCTTATTCCCACAAAAGGGTTTTTAGCCTGGCCTCCTTTTGTCCCAAAGAATACTGCCTGCCCATAAGCTAAGCAGTGGCATAAAGATCCACTGAAAATGGAAATACAGGTACTGTTAGAGGCTGGTTTAGTAGAATTCCATGGGAGGGCTGTTGATGTGGTTGTTCCCCAGTTTTGGAAAATCCCAGCATTTTGGTTGAGGGAAGTTTTTGATATATAAGCTGGTTCATTACTGAGGTATGTTTCTTTTACTTATTTTGAGACCCATCTTAAGTATGCTTTGTTGGTAGAAAGGCAGGATATCAATTAAATAGAACAATATTGCAGTGGTTCCCTAATGCAGATGGTATGTATAGCCTTCTGCAGAATCATATAGAATTTAGCCTCCACTGTGTACCAGCTACTTGTTTTCTCAATAACATGTTTTGGGTATAAGATGATGGCAACTAGGGTGCTTTCCTCCTCTCTGCTATATTCACCAGGTTTTAAGAAACTGCAAGAAAAGATTGGTTGATATTTCTACTTTCCACATTTTGGAGGAAACGTTCTTTGAAATCAAGTAATTAAGATTAACTTATGGTAGCCAAGCAATACCTGATGCAGATAAAAGATCACCTTGTAGTTCCCTCTATCTTCTTGAAAGTAGCATGACATTGATGCTGTACTCCCACTAAAATGTGTAATATAAATTAAGTACTTCCATTTGCATTTTTGTCTTCAGCTTTAAAAGATCTAAGTCAGATGCAAAACAGTGGCTCAGATAAGTTGGCCTAATTCACATTACATACTAGTCTCAGTGTTTTATCCCTGAACATACAGCATGTTTGCACTAATACACCAAATGCATTCATTCCTGCCAATACCAGTTCTGAATATAGTGTCATATGCCCCACTTTAATCTCTGTAATTTTCTCTCTGTGGGACTGTTCTTTAAATGCTGGTTCAGTATACTGCGGTGATGCTGTTGACTAGAGCTAGTTTTAAGGAGCATATGTTGGTTCAAACAGGTCCATTGCTATCTGCTTTGAGCCACCAAAGGATCAGCATAATTATCCTTTCTCTTATCCTTCTGCCAACAGTTGAAAAAGTATTTCTTCAATAGTCTTTGGTGTATAAACTGAGTACCTAAGTGGGTACTGTTTATTAATGATATTCTGATTATTTTAATTATGGGGTTGCTTTTTTACTTTCTGCATTGTTGACCAACTTGAGTTTTGTCAGTTGGAAAGGCAGGATTATAATTTAAGAAATAAATACCTCTGAAGCTGTTGTAATGTTTTCTGTTACTTGAAATGCAGATGCAAAACTACCTATTGCTGCTTTTCATCTTTTCAAATATTAAAGTACTTTAAGATTCTTCATGTACTCTTAGACTATAATTCATTGCACAATCAGGACACAAAATTAAATTGGTGACATCTATGAAGCTCTGAGCAGAATCTGCAGAGGATCATATTGGCAGTTTCAGCCATTAAGGGCATAAAACTGGATTCTAACTTGACTTCACTTCCACTTGCCAGGTAGTCTTCCCACAACTATGGCCATACTCCCTAGAGCAAAGGAGATTAATCAGGTGACCCTTAAACTTCATTCCATGGGAAAGGTGCTACCTCAGAAAGGCCTTTCCTTATTCTTTGCAAATTATGTGAATGAATCATGACTGGCCCACAAAAATTCTTGGAAATACTTCCAAGGGGAAAAAAAAGGAATGGGTGAAAATATGTTTATTATATTGCTGTTATTCAGTCACTTTCTCCAGTCTGTTCATTTTCTCCTCCACCTCCAGCACAATATTCTGCAGTTTGGCAGCTGTTTTTGTCAAGGCAGCAAAGCTTTCTTTAAGGTTTCCAGTCCCCTCATTTCTGCCTGTGTTGTCAAGACTATCAAACCATTGTAGAATCCCTTCAAGGTGCCCCTGGACAATCTTTTGCTCTTCCAGTTCTGCTTGTAGAGCTTGCTCAGCATATGTTTCAGCCTTGAGCTCTCTTTCCAGCTGGCTGATCTCATTCTCGAGTTCTTGAAACTGTTTTGCAGTGTAGCAGAATTCCTCTTGGAGCTTATCTTCTGGAAGACAAACATTCTTGGGGATGCTCAAAACTGTGCTTAAAAGTGGCTCTTCCATTTTACTGAACAGATTGTCAAAGCGTTCCTTCATGAAAGCGAAGAATTTTTCTGTGCTCCTCCGGATTAGAGAAGGAGTAAGATTAGGACAGATGTTCTCTAGTTTATTTAGTATGACTTTCTCCACTACCAGCATTATATGGGAAAGATGATCTTGAAAAGCAAAATATATCCGCAACATGAGTGTTTGAGGGGTAAAGCCAAAAAACTGGGCTTCATATACCATTGGATTTACTGACATGTTGAGAAATACCTAGAAAGAAAATTTTTTAAAAATCAGTCTTTAGTAAGTTAAGATACTGAACTGGGTTCATACATTGTGCTACGTTGTCAGTCCTTTGAGGTAGTTCAGACAAGGAGCACCAACCATGAGTATTAACACTAACTTTATTGTAAGATTACAGTAACAGAATCTTGCAAATCTGAAAGTACATCTCTCCCCTTGCCTTTACACTCCAAGAAACTAGGGAGGGTCCCTTCTGAGATGTTTGCTATGCTCCTGTTCCTTCTGGGGGCTAAGCTGGCCTCTTATCTGACTGTTGTCTAGTCTGCTGCTGCTCCTCTTTCTCCTGTCTCTCAAGGACATTCTCACAGACTGTTACATAAGCCACAGTTTACTTAAATGTAGTTAGTTGAGTAAACCACAAAAGTTGGGTTCATACCACATGCTAAAATAAAATGGTTTAGCACAGTGCATTACTGTTAGAACTGACAAACTATTCCAAGCATTTGGGCATGTAGTCATATATATATATATATATATAACTTCTTTAATAGAAAAAAGAAGTGATAGTTGCAAAAGAAGAGGGAGGAAAATTTGGAAAAAAAAAACTGTCTTATGGACAGGAAAAAAGGTAAGATGGGTGGCCATACAAATTAAATTAATCAATAGATAGAAAACCTGCTGGATAAATATTTTATACTCAGAATTACTTGATATTTGTAGAATCAAGAAAAAGCCTATGCAACTTGAAAGCTAAATAAAATCATTCTGAATACTAATTTCATGTTATGGAAATGGTTATTAAATGGACTGATTTATTCCAGAAGAACGTGCTTATAACTGAACAGTACTGTATTAATACAGAATGTTTCAGAGATTTTAAAAACTATCTATTTTGAAAGAATGCAAATCTGCAAGATTTACAGAAGTCAGGCAACACTCATCCCTGAGGAAACCTGACAGAAAAAGTTGCCTTGGGCTGCCTGTTAGGGTGATGGAATTTTATATACATATATACAATTATATATTTGCAATAATGATACATCTCCGAAGATTGACACTAATCACACTTGCAAACATATTGCTTTCCTTTATATTTAGAATGAATACCCATGCCAAACTTGAGCTTCAGAACTCTCCCTAATTAATTAAAGGTCTCCAAATTCCTCTTACTATTGAATTTGGATATTTTTTTTCTGAAGAAATAGATGTCAAAAGTGAAAAATTACCTCTGATTTTTTGCCAATCAACCTTTATAAGAGAGCATTTGGATTAATAATGAAAAAGTCATCATCAATAAGGTCTTAGTGATCTATAAGAAAACCCTTGATAGGAACCGATGAAGCCATAATAAACTGGCATCAACCTGCAGCACTTAATTGGAATATGCTTCCAAGACAAGTGGAAAGTGAACATCGTAACACTTCCTTATAGAAATCTATGCAAATAATTTTTTGACAAATATGATCAAACTTCAATAAGTCCTAAAATAGTTCCCAAAAGAGAACTATCAGAAGCACAGCTTCTCCCTCTCAGATAAACAGCTATAAAATTTAAATAGTAATCCTATACACATTTACCTGAGAGCAATTCCTATTAAACTTAGGACTTCTTTCCAAATAGATATGTACGTGATTGGGTTTTAAAAGTAGGAATGTTATACAATTAACAGAAAATTGAATAGGATCATCTGATAGGTCCCTAAATGCTCTCAAATACATTTATATGGATGGTGATTACTCCTAGCGAGATATATAAATCTAACCAATATCCTTATTGTTTAACTATGTCAAAACCCCAACCCAAAATATGAACAGACTATTTTGTTCAGAAACCAGATGTGAATGTGTGCAGAATTTCAGAGTTCAGTTCAATTTTAGAGTTCATCTTTGCCATGAGCATGCAAGGAACCTATCTTGTACAAACCTTCTAGTGCTGAAGAAGGTCAATAATGTGACCCACTCATTCCTGTGAAATGCCAGGCTTGACAGAAATTTCCCTTTGAGTGATCCCCTGATTGTTCTTCCGTTTCATCAACCTCTCTCATACGAAACTTGTCCGTTGTTGTCACAAGTCATCCATTTCATTCTTAATCAAACAAGTCGGCTCTTCCTGGTTTCCCATCTTTACATTTTTGGGCCCAGCGATGTACAGTACTCACGTCAACACAGTCATCCCCATACACAACCTGCATTCGGCGATGAATTTCAATTGGAGGGACTCCTTTGGCAGTCAAAAACTCAATCACGGCACGTTGCTTAAAGCGTATTGCCGAGTACTCACTGCAGGCTTCCATTTCACGAGCAACAGCAACCCAACCTTCTCTCCCATCGACTTCCCGCCAACTGAAGCGAAAGAAGAGACGCTGAAAAGCACGTCAGAGCTGCTAGCACTGCCATCTGTTGGCGAACTAACATGGAGCCACTACTTTCCTTTCAACCCTGGCCGCAGGCAGCGCAGGCTTGTTTAACACCAGCCCCAGAAACAAAGAGAATCGGGCTGGGGTGGCCGTTGCGGCGTTGGACCAGGACCGGGGTGGGGGTGGGTGGCTGGGGCCGGATTCGGATCCGCGGGGTGGTTTTAGGCTCCTTCAGCCCAAATTACCTCACAGAGTTGAAGGGAGACTTACGTGTATTTATTATTTCTTGGGTGCGTACACAAGTACGTCGCTCAGACCTCCTGGTGAGATATATAAATCTAACAAATAAATGTAACAACATCGAAAACTGCCCTCCCAGAGCCATTTCCCTCTTTAAGGGGCGGGGAAGCGCTTCTGGAACACTGCGCGTGTGAAATCAATCAAGAGTTTGTCTTCATTTCTTGATTTCCGTTTAATACTCAAAAATTGTCTAAGGTTTTATGGTAACTGCTCCGGTTCTTGCTTTTTCCTTGTGCTTTTTGTATTGAACCAACGTCTAGTCCTTTTTTTGTCCATTTTGCTCCATTTCATTATTAACGGCTTTTGCATTAAGTCTTCTGCTTTAATTTAAAAGGTTACATATTTTAGGCCTCTCACCTTACCTCAATCCTCCTCCGTTCCCGGGTAGGATTCAATTGCGCGCAAAGAAATTTCACCGAGTTGAAATTCACTTTTCCCGCCTCTTTGGTCTCGCTCGTTGTTCCGAACGGCTTCCCTCTCGCCCTCCCCTTTCCATATCTGACCATAGAGATGGGGAAGACTAGAGTGACGCAGACTAGACTTCCGGTAGTCTTCACGATTCTCCGGCACACCAAATCAGCTCTGATTGGGTTCGACAAGCAGACGGAGGGAGGGAGGTGGACGGCACAGATTGGCTGAGGGGGAAAAAAAAGGGAGAATGGGATGGTGCAGATTGGCTATTCGTCAAACGGCTTCGAAGATATGATTGGCCGGCATCGAGAAGATACCGTGGGCAGAGGCAGAGCTTTAGGCGGCAGCGCCAAGATGGCGTATCAGACCTTCCGACAGGAATACCTGCAGGTGCCTCCTGTCACACGGGCCTACACTACCGCCTGCGTCCTCACCACTGCTGCTGTGGTGAGTGGGGGAAAAGGGTGGGCTCCCGTGGTCGCTCTGTAGTAGAGAAGCAGTCGGTCGAGGGGAATCCGTAGAGCTCCTCCTTTGACACACCTCTATCGTATTAGAGTAGATCCATTGTAATTCCGGATTTGATCGTGATGAACTCCTTTTTCTCTGATTCCAATAAATACGTTTAATTTACTGCATAAATTAAAAAGTGTCACGTAATAGCTAATTAGAGTCGGTATCTTTTCTTTCTCTAAGGAGTTCTTAACCCTCCTTTCTGTTCTCACAGTAGCCCTGCCAGGTAGGACAGATTGAATGGAGGAGGAGTGAGTGACCTTTCTTCTAGAAACTCCGTGCAGTTAAGCTTTGAATAAGGGTTATATCTATGGCGCTGAATGTAAGCAGCCGTTCCACTGTTGGTGATCCATCTGCTAGGGCAGCAGGTTAGATCAGGCCATGAAGAGTTAGGATCCCTCAGATTGACTTACCATATGCTTGTGAAAATTAAATCAGGCTGAGAAGGGAATTGAGAGAAAATTGTGTAAAATAAAATCTGGAACTCAGTCCATATGTAATAAAAACATTTACTCTTCTGCAGAGCGGTAGATCCAGGCAGAGAAACCATCCTCCCATCTACTTGCCTGCAGCATAACTAAACTATCATATAGCTATCCTATCACTTGCTAATATTACTAAAGACACTTTTCTAGTATAAATCTAAATAAACTCATAGCCCAGAGCATGGTGCAAAACAAAACAGATGAAAATGTCACGAATCTTCAGTATTGAAGGTATATAGATTTTTACAGCAGTGACTTTTGGGATACTGAGCACATAAGAAAAGCCCTCTTAGCATGTTTTCCTCAGTGGTCAAGCAAATACCTCAAAAGCAAGGGATGAAGACAGCAGCCTTCTTTTTTGCTGCCAATTTAACAGATTAAGTTTCTATGTACAGGTATTTTATACACGTTTTATCTTACTCTTTTTTAAAGGTTATCTTAAAAAGTGGTAATTGCTACATTCCATGGTATTGTTCTTTTGCATAGAATTTTGAAATTAGAACAAATGGCCCAGTAAGAGGGTTCATCTTTATGGAGAGAAAGAGATGGTACTTTGGCTTGTGTCTTTGGAAAGATCCCAGCAGGTTCTACATGACTGGTATTGGTATTAGATGAAATAGATGATGCATGAAGATAGCACAGTTATGAACTAGATTATGTTAGGTCACTGAAGATACTCTAATTACAGTAATAACCTGCCTAATGGTGAATTCATAAATTACATTACTATGTTGTATAACTGTGACTTCCTTTATATTCTCTTTTTTTTTAGCAATTAGAATTAATCACACCTTTTCAACTGTACTTCAACCCAGAATTGATATTTAAACACTTTCAAGTAAGTGCTTCTTTGCATGTCAGTGTTTCATAAAGACAGCTGGCACAACTCAGTTTTCGCAAATAAGAACTGGTGGTATTTTTAACAAATCTCCCTCTCACACTGTATGGTGTTTGTGAGAGTTGCAAGTGAAACTCTTGAGGTTTATGCTAGAGCCCTGTTATGGCTACAAGCATTATTTCTAATAATGTTACGTGTTGATTTTGCTACCAAATAGTGATAGATTGGTTTGTAGTGGAATGAGCTACAGCTGGTTTTTGCTGTGATTCTTATTGGGCTACAAACTTTATAAACTAGTTCTGTTTTGGCATTCTGTCAGGCAATATTGATCTAATATTAAGGATTTTTTTTAACCATAACTAATTATAAAGCTTGATAATTAGTGCTAATAAATACTGAATCTTAAAGAAAAACATTCTGTATGAGACCTTACTTTTAAATACCCAAGTTAAGATCTTCTTATACAGAATACTTCTATATCATTTGAGAGTTCTGATTAAAACAGGTATTTGTTAAATGCGATTTATTAATTTCTCATCCCTCATATCTCTTGCAGGTATGGAGGCTGATTACAAACTACCTTTTCTTTGGGCCAGTTGGATTTAATTTTTTATTTAATATGATATTCTTGTATCTTTTGCTTATCTTCTGTGTGCAAGCTCAATCATGGTTGCATGTGTAAGACTCTTTAGAAGTACCCCAATGAAAGTTGGTTGAAGCTTCTTTTCTAATTTATTTTATTTATTTAATATATTGCCATCATCTACATGGACTCCAGGTGGTTTAACAACAACTTTAGAAGCAAATAAGTAATTTAAAGCAGATGATACTAGCTGTAACTGTTTCCTTCTTTAAAAAAGTGTCATAAGCCACATGTTTATCCTCCATCCTGTCTTGCTGTATTTCAAGAGTAATCACCATTTGTTTTCATATTTTGACAGTGTTGGCTCCTAATTTGTTTATGGACAGATCCAGCTTTGCTTAGAGTCAAGATGCCCAAAGGAATCTCTGTTGTAGTATTAAATTGCCCAATCCTTGGGATTATCTCATGAGGCACAGATTATCTTTGGAAGTGAGGATAAGAGGGAGAGAGCCTACTTTGTGGTAGTATCCAAACGTTCAAGACACCCCTCTAATATAGTACCAGGAGCATTATTACAGATGGAAGTTTTAGTTATCTAGGAAATGTTTTCTCATTATAGCTCTCCTGAAGTAGGTAATACTTACTGCAATTGGTGAGGTTACTCACCAAATAATCTGAACATTTATAATCTTTTTTTGGTAAAATACCTTTGAAACACTGGATGTTGAATAAAGAATATTCCTTTAGTTGCTTGATTGCTGCATGGGTTAGGCATCTCCCATTATTGAATATATCATCTTTAACAAAATTCTAAGATAAATGAGGACTTATTTTGAATACATGTTATTGATGTGGTTTTCTCTGGATCCATTCTCTTGTAGAAGAAAGAGATTTATATATCTGAGCCAAATAATGTATTTCTTTATTTAGAACATTTATATAGTTGCCCATCTTAAATATATAACCCTAGGTGGCTAAAAATAATCCACAGAAAAACACAGCCCCCCCTTAAAACACAAGTACAAAACAAAATTAAAATAACCATAACCCAACAGAGAATGTAATCATTATGATATTTGTTCTTCCTGCATATGCGAGATAAGCACTGGTAACCCCCAAGAGTAAAAGTCTTAACTACAAAAATATGATTCTTGGCAGCTAATCAAACAATACAAAATTAGATCTGTGATAACAGGAGACAGATCCTTTACAGTAGTGGTAGCTTGGTTACAGAGGCCTACCTTAGACCTTTGGATTGTATGGGCAGAAAGCAGTCCCTGATGTACCTCAATTCTATGGCATAGAAGTTTTTATTGATTTTATTTCCATAAAAATCTGAGAAAATGTTTGACCCTATTTGTGTAATTACAATTGCCTATTCTCCTGAACTAGTAATCAGATATCGCTACTGTCGAATGCTTGAGGAAGGATCATTTCGAGGCCGGACAGCAGACTTTGTATTTATGTTCCTTTTTGGTGGACTGTTAATGACTGTATCCTTTCATTGCTGAATTATATATAAGACCTGGGGCAACGCCTGACAAAATGATTATAATTGCTCTCAATCTGTGTTTGGGATACTTCTTTAATAGTGAATACATCTTCTAGGGAAGCAACTAAAATAGCAAGCATTTTTCAGAAACAAACCCTTTGTGAGAGAATTCTGGGTGTCTTGTGGTGATGGGAAGCTTCCCAATTCATGCAGACCTATCCAGTAGGACTGCTCCGGAGAAATTATTTATAGAAATACCCTTTTTTTTTTCAAGAAAAAACAATTCCTTGGTTTGATTTGGGGACTGTCTGGGCCTTAATTTTCTAGAGACTCAACTCAAGTGTACTGATTCACAGAAGACTTTCAGAACTGTGGAAAATTTTGTTAGGTGGTACTTTCAAACAAGATCATCATTACAGGTACTCCTCGCTTAACAACTGTTTGTTTAGCGACTGAAGTTATGACGGCATTAAACAGTAACTTATGACTGGTGCCTGAAGTTACGACCATTGCAGCACCCCAGCGGTCATGTTATTGAGATCCAGGCACTTGGCAACCAGCTCACACTTACAACAGTTGTAGCGTCCTGGGGTCACATGATCACCATTTGCAACCTTCCCAGCCAGCTTCCGGCAAGCAAAATCAATGGGGAACCACATGATTTCCTTAATGACCATGTGATTCGCTTAACAACCACCACAAAAGGTCGTAAAATCAGGTCCAGTCACATGATTCACTTAATGACCGCATCGCTTAGCGACCTAAATTCTGGTCCCAACTGTGGTAGTTAAGCAAGGACTACCTGTATGGTATTCATGTGTTTGATTATCCAATGCAAGTGCAGAAATCCATTCTTAGTGGCCATTTTCCCTCTTCCAATGTGCCTTTTTTGGGAGAGTTACCAAGTTCACATCTGTGTAGCTTTCACAATGATTGCAAAGCTTTCACTCAATTGAGGCATTGCACCAAGCCTCAGTTTAAAAAGTTTCATTATGATTAGACAAATATGATGGCTTCCAATCAGGCCTCAAATCAGTATGCACAGGTTGAAGTAGATCTGTCTCAGGGAACCTGTCTTGCCAAGGTTTTTCTAAGGTGTGTAAATTAAACTCTCAACTTTTCAGTTGTGAGGGTGGGTTTTTTTTTTTTTTTAAAAAGATTTGGAATGTTAATTTGAGCTGACACTTTAAATCTGATTTAATTTTTGGTTCTTCCTCATTCCTAGTGTACCACTAGACATTGAGAGCTACCAAAATAAGTATGCTAGCTTAGTACTTTCTGCTATTTATTTTTAAATTTTCTTAATAAGAGTACAATGACTCTTTCCTTAACCATTACTCCATCAGCTTTTTGGCTTGTTTGTCAATTTGGTTTTTTTAGGGCAAGCATTTACAATAATGCTAGTATATGTCTGGAGCCGCAGAAATCCCTTTGTTCGCATGAATTTCTTTGGGCTTCTCATCTTTCAGGCCCCATTTCTTCCATGGGTTCTCATGGGATTTTCACTTTTATTGGGAAACTCCATTATAGTAGATCTTCTAGGTAAGATGATTGAGAATTCTGTTAGTAATGAGCTACAATGAAATCCTTGCCTTTTTGACCTGTCTCATCTCTTACAAATAGTCATTTGCTTTTCTGCTTGTGCATACTAAAATTGAGATTTGAAGGGTACAGTATTTTTTAATGCAAAGTTATAGTTATGCAGTATACTGGCAGTCCCTGAGGAATCCCAACATAATTACAGCAGCGATGGGTACACCGTTAGAAGATCTGAAGGGCCAAATCATTCTGGAGAAGGGCTTTCAATGTAGTTGCTAAAAGTCACCCCTATCTTGATGGCACATAATCAAAAAGAATTTTTGACAACAGCCTCTTATAATCATTATGATGGGATACAGATGCATAGACAAGAAATTTGATTCCCTACTTTAATAAAGGGAATTGTATATACTTCACAGAATGAAAAATGCAGAATTCATAAAAGCACTACCGTGCTGCTTGTTGTCTTACAGTTTACTTATGAAGAAAAGAGGCCAAGAAAAGGAATGCTACATTTAAAAATCTTGAGTAAGTTAGAAATGGCATGCAAAATATATCTTGAGGTGCTTCTTTTAAAAATAGCTGGACTGATGTTATGAAAAATATTAAATGTTTTAAACTGTGGTTAAGACAGCAGGAGTAGGTTTTGCTGTCCACCTCAATAACAACACTTGTGGTCCTATGGAGGAAGAAACTAGCTTCTTTAGGATTCCTGAGAAAAAACTATTTTCAAGCCTCAGGAAGTCTTTTATGAAACAGGCTTTTTAAATGCCTTCTCAAAACTGGAGTGATAAATGTTGGATAGTGGATGGTTTTAGGCTTTTATTTTATAATAAAACAATGCTGTGTTTCCAAATTTCTCCCCTCATCACTAGGCATTGCTGTAGGTCACATATATTTCTTCTTGGAAGATGTCTTTCCAAATCAGCCTGGGGGAGGAAGGCTTCTAAAAACACCATCCATATTGTAAGTGCTTACCTTTGTGGTGGGTTTTGGCTGGGAGGGAGGAGACAGAACAAACTGTCTCCAAACTAATGCAAAACAGTTGTATTCAGGGAGAGAATTCCAAACCTAGGAAGATAGAAAATGGACAGAGATGGGGTTTAATCCACACCGAATTCTCGAATTACTGCCTTAATCTCCCAGATTTGTTCACAGTTTTCCTACTAGAGCTTAGTTGGTCATACGTAAGAGATGTATAATTAAATGGAGTTCTCAGAGGAAGTATACTTCAGTATTATAGCACGTGCTTGGTATGATGAATATCCTAAATTCAAACCCTAGCATGTCTAGGCAGAGCTGGGAAATATATCTTATCTAAAATCTAGAGAACCACTGTCAGCATAGTACTGAACTAAATGGGCTGGTTACCTGGCTCAATATCCAGTGGTGTCAGATGCTGAAGACAGTTGCTGTGGAGAATTGTTGTCTATAGGTACTGTTTGTGGGCTTCATAAATGCTTCTGACTGGTTGCGTATGGAACAGGTAGCTGGAATAGGTGGGTATTTTTGGCTTCAGGCCTCTTCACATGTCATTTCCCATGCTAGATTGACCCATATCATCTTAGAAAAGAGTACCCGCTTTCAATAGTAGGTTTTAGATCAGTTTAGAAATCAGGCTATATCTTCAGCAAGAAAATTGTCCTAGAAGCAGCTCATTATGATAAATGATTAACTTGATAAATGTCAACAATAACAAGAGCCACAAAATCTCCCTATCTTGTCTTGCTGCTTGAGCTTTATGAAAGCTGTGTTTGGTTCATCTGGAGGATATCAGATTGTGGAAGGCTGCAATATAGTCTTCTTCAGAAATTCATTTGAAAGCAGCATTTAAAAGAATCCTTTTAACAAACTGTTTGGGAAATACAACAATATACATAGTTCAGGAGAACTGGGAACTGATGATTCTTCCTAGGCCAAATATACATTCCTAATTAATTGTGGCCACCTTTTCCTTCCAACTACCCTTGAGGCAAAAGAGAAAAAAACAGGCTGGCAGAAATCATGGGGCTTTAAATGCTTCCAGTTTTTTAGCCATATGTGTACAATCTTTTGTGTCTGTTGACCTGAGCATTAAAAAAAATTACTTTGCTTAACAGGAAACTAATATTTGATACACCAGAAGAAGATCCCAATTACAATCCACTGCCTGAAGAAAGGCCAGGAGGTTTTGCCTGGGGTGAAGGTCAGCGCCTAGGAGGCTGAGATCCAGCAAACACCTTTGAGGAGAGACTAGGCAAGCAAACCGTCCTGGAGAACTGTTCTGTTCTCTTGTGCATAAAGGAAGTTTTGACAACTCTGAATATGCAAAACATTTTTTCAAAAATGAAAAAAAAATTACCTGATCAAAAGACATTTTTCAAGGAACTGAAAACAACCTTCAAACCCTCTTGGAGACTTTTGCATTGATTTGTTCAGAAATGAATGACCCAAGCCAAGAAAAACTGGAAATGCACATTCTTGTGTTCTTCAGTTCATGTGTAAAAACAAATATTTGTAAGGCCTTTTTCAGTTTTATTTCATACAGGACTGGGTAACTGCAGAAGATGAATAAAACTGTTCATTTTATTTTTCCATTTTCATTAGATAATTAAACAGGCAAGCTTACTTGACTTGCTGGCCATGCAACAGTGCCTGTGAAACAAACTACAACTGAAGAGCCTCTTTTTTTCTCAGAAGATTTGGGTAGATCTTATATGTTGAATTATGTTGAGGTCTTTGTGCTTACCAAAACTGGTTTACTGTTATGTTTGCAGTGTAACCCCACTGTAGCTAGGGACTGAGGTAGCTGGCTGATAAGGTTTCATGTATATATTGTAAAATTGTTAGTGATAAGCTACAAACCATCTTCCTTACCTACAGTGTTATACCTTGGTTTCACTTTCTCTTAAAAGCAGATTTCTCATTTGGGGGTTGGGATTAGACAGTGAAAGTTTACTATAGAAGTTTGACTTTTAATTTTATATATTGCTTCAGTTCCATTGCTATCTCTACTAGTTTTCTATTTCATGGAGCATGATTTGCCTTCCTCTCTTGCTACTTCAAAAGGGAACATCAGAAACTAAGAGAAACATACTCAATTTCATATAATTCTCATGACATACTGCACTGGAAGAATGAAAGTTCTAAGTTATAATTTGCTCAAATTATCAGTTTTTATGAAAGACAAGTTCTCTTCTAGGCTAGTAAGTACTTTATTTGGCCTTTCATGTAGGAGAATTACCTTCCCAGTTTCACACTTAAAGAAAATCATTGCACAGTGGCCTTACCACCCCACAAAATAAAAAGTACCTGAAATCCCCTCAGATCATAAAATTTTGTGGGATTGTAGTATTCTTGTTCCCAAGGCCTTAGCTGTTTAAAAAAAATAATCAGAGTTCAGATGCAGTCTAGAAGTTTGAAGAGTGCTGTGTTACTAAACCTTGACATACATAAGGTAAAACAAATTCTGATGTATTACTTTGTGTATGGTATGTAAAAAACCTGGCTGATAAGCCACTTGGCTTACAGGCACTCTCTAACCGTTCTATATGCTGTACTAGTCTCTGATGAGCCACCAGCCCTCCTCATAGCTTAAGCCACACAATTGCTTGGATTATCCAGATAACTACATTGTGTTCACTAACACTTTTCCATTTCCAAACTTAAAGATGCTCATTTATCACACAGCACCAAACCAGCATACTATACTATACACTATACTATACGCTAACTTTTAAAAATTCAGAATAAAATTGGGCTGAATGTAAATTAAAACCACTTTCAAGAAGTGACACTGCGAACTACATTCTTCTCCCTGATGGACCTCCCTTAGCCTAGGGGTGCAAAAAGTGCGGATCAGCACAAATTGTCAGTAACTATTTTGTGGGTTACAAATAGGTGGGGTCAAATGTTTGGGCTTTTTTTTTTTGAATTTGTAATGGTCCAAGAGGATAAATGGATGCATTATACTTTAGATGACTCTTACCTTTTAGTGGATTTCTATAATGGAGATAAGCTATGAACAGATTTAAGGTTAGATAAGATTCATAGAGGACTCTGGTGTTGGGGTCAGTATGGCACTCCCTCTGAATGCTACGTACGGATCAGGAGAATGCTAAATACTTCAAACAGCTGAGAATCACAACAAATTAATACAACCTCCAGCAAGTTATTTCTCAAACTGTTACTCCCCCATATCTCTCAGAGTGGGTAAAACATTATCTTCCGTACAGTATTGTATTCTGCAAAGTAAAAGTCTAAACATTGCATGTACAAAAGGTGAACCCAGTTGTAGATTTCTAGATCACATATATCGATAAACTTTTCTTACTGCCAGTGGTTTAACAAATACCCTTTTATAAAAGAATTTGTACATGAATACTGTAGTGATTTTGAAAACAAGTTCCTGGGCTATATGCAAGTTCAGAGTATCTTGTTCTGCAGCCTTATTATATGTATGTTTTCTTGAACAACCTTTTGCAACTAGTTGAGATTCCAGTAGGGAAAATAGGTCTAGTAAGTCCGAAACGTGCCAGTTTCCATGTTATTTCTTTGTGAGGCATAAGAGTCAATTTCCTCTCCATAATACCATGTACTATGCCAGAAAGACAGCTTTGTGTTGAAGGTACAGTTAAAAATTCAGGATTGCTTGGCCGTGCAACTGAAACATAGTTTTGGTATCTCATTACAAAAGCAATTCAGTTAAGTGTTACTGTGATACTGACAAAATAGAAGTAAATACTGTTTAGGCGGCTAAAACTATGGCGAGGTTTTTTTTTTCTTGAATCCACAAAATATCTGGCAGCGACGAAAGAAAAACGAAAGGTACAACCCTACTCCTATGTCCACATAGTGCAAGTTACTTACATAGCAATTACACAGAATTGGATACCTTGTATTGCTGATTACATGCGAGCTACATGGTTTAAAAAGAATAAAAGCGTTACTGAAAAGAGAGCTAAGGCCCCGCCTCGTGGCAATTACTTCGAGGTTCCGGGAGATAAGATCAGAGCAGAAGGAAACAAGCAAAACACGAGGGCAGGAACCCCTTCCAACGTAGAATTTAACATCCCGTTTCGCAAAACCACTACTCTCACTATTCCGCCCGCGGCCGCCGTAACTTGTAGACCTGGAAGGCTCCGCCCCTTGGTGAGCGGTAGAGCGCATGCCTAGGTTGTAGGAAGCGAAAGAGACTACAATCTCCAAGAGCCTCCCACCATGTTAGTGAGCAGGCATTGTCAAGAGGCGGGCGTGAGGATCCTGGGAAATGTAGTCCGCATATTCTGAGGCGAACTCTGAGAGGCGGGGCCCGGCAAAGCATGTTACCTGACGGCGGCGAAGACGACGCTGCTACCACTGGGAGCCGAGGATGCCTCAGAGGAGCGGGGAACTGCCCCCGTTCAAGAAACCGAAGCTGGCGTCCACCACGCTACCTCTCGCCTCTGGGTCGCGCAGAGCGATGTTACTAACAACGCCGGGAGCGAAACGCCATCCTTCGTCCGCATCCGTCTCCTCGTCGTCCTCGTCCTCCTCCTCGTCCATAGGGATCGACAGCCAGCGCCGGAGCCTGCCAATTTTCCAAGCGCGGGGGACGCTGCTCGGGCAGCTCCGTACCTTAGACTGCGCGGTCCTGATCGGTGAGGGAATCGTGCCCTTCCCCCACCCTTTCTAAACAGCCTTGCTGTGGGAGGGGGAGGAGTCAGCCGAAGCCGTGCCCCTTTCCCATAGGGGAGGGGGGTTGAGCGGGAGTGCTCCTCCCTGTCAACTGCAGGAAAGGGGCGGGGCCTGGCGTAGGTTCGTTCCGCCGCCGCTGCGCTGAGGGCGGGGCTTTCCCACAGCCTCTCCTTCATGCCGTCAATTTCCTGCTCTGGGGAATTAATTTCCTTGAATGGAAGAAAGGCCGGACGTAAGAACGGTGCTTGTCTTCTCTTTACCCTCCGCCCCTGAATAGATGCAAGACTTCTTTTTTGCCATTGAAAGGCACCCGGGGGCCCTCCCTGTTTTTTGTAAGGAAGTTGGATACCTTTTGCAGCGCGACTTTTGCTAAGGGCCATCCTGTTACCCCCCCCTTTCCCTGCAGAAAAGGGGTGGAGCCTGTGAGCGCTTCTCTCAGTGCTGGAGGGGCAGAGTTTATGACCAGCGCTCAGTGTGCTTTATGCTGTGCCTTTCTCTGGATTCCCAACTAGGGTAGGAATCTTGGAGCTGTAGCCCAGTACATCTGCTGACATGTCTTTGGCAGAAGTTAGTGTGTGGTTTCCTAATACAGGCTTTGCTACTTTTCCTCAAAAAGATACATGGGGGTGCTGATGATAGCCCCTGTTTTTTTGGCAGGAAATGGCTGGATGAACCCTTTTCAATTATTCTCAAACATTTGAAATGCAAGCTGATAATGCCACAACAGTGTGTTAGTCTTTAGGGTTGGGAGGTGGGAAGACGGGACATTTTGTTTTCCTCATTTATTGAAGAGGTGTACTTCATTGCATTTTTACCCTGCCTTTCCTCCAAAATTGAGCAAATCGATGTGCCAGAGAGAGAAAAATGGTTTTATCTGAGAGAAAGTAACTGACCTGAGGTCACTCAGTGGTTTAGCATACATGTAGTACTGCCCTGAACTGAGGTTTGCAAACAATAATGTTTGGGTAGCTGAAAATAACTAACCTATGAATTACAGTATAACATTAAAACACAGTAGTCAAGTTCATGCAACATATTAGAAGAAGCTAAAATGGGGTTGGGTATCTTGGATGTAGTGTATTACAGGACTCCTACAATTGTCTTTTCTTAGCCATGATTAGGGATTAGCATGTTGTGGGAACTCAGCCAGTGGGGGGATTTACAAATCACCCTAAACCAAACACAGACAAACCAAATTGCTTTGCTTTCTATGGGAAGCAGTCCATATAGTTCATTAATCACTGCCCTTCCTTGATCAGTTTTTGAGCCACATAACCCTCTAAGAACTTAATGCTTTAACCAATCACTAACAGAATGATTCAGTTTATCACAACTGTTCTGATGAGAGAGTTTAATATTTCATTCATCTCTGTTAAAATGACAGAAATATATGGTATGATGAAAGATACTAGAATTGGAATCTGCAATTAGAACTATTATATATAACAGAACAATATTTTTTAGAAGGATAGTCACAAATTTAATGTATGTTGTATCTTAAAAATACTTGTGACCGATAATTAATTAATTGGCATGCATATTTTAGTGCCAAAGATAATGAATGGCTATGTTCTTTATAATTAATTGACAGTGCCAAGACATCCACATAGAACAGGAAGTTGCACCTAGTTCCTTTTTTGGTGCTGAAAGAACAGCTCCTTTCCATAAACTAAAACAGCTTGCTCCAATTTGGAACCTTCCTGATATATTGTACTACAGTTACTATAATTGTCAGTCAGAACTTTTTTTGTTAATGGTAGAAGGAAATGAGGGGAATAATAAGTTGTAGTAGTAGTATATTTTTATCCCATCTTTTTTATATATAACTCAATTGGCAAACATACCTAATACTGTATTGTTGAAGGCTTTCACGGCCGGCATACGATGGCTGGTGTGGGTCTTCCGGGCTGTGTGGTCGTGTTCTTGAAGTTCTGTTTCCTAACGTTTCGCCAGCACCTGTGACC